TTCCCTCAATGGCCAGCTTAGAGCATATACCTTGCCTGTGTCTGCAGGTGGAAAAACTGGCTCGGACACTGTTCTTATGGAAGATTGAGGTCCATGACCAGAAGGAACGTGTCTATGAGATGCGACGCTGGAATGAGGCCTTGGTCACCAACATGTTGCCCGAGCACGTGGCACGCCATTTCCTGGGGTCCAAGAAGAGAGATGAGGTAAGGAGTGGCCTCATGCCCCAGCACGGGGCCATGGGCTGTGTGTCTTCATCTGGCTTTCCGCCAGGGAGCACCTCCAAACCCAGGCTTCTCGTGGCGTGGAACGGGGGCCTGCCGCAAACATTGTTTCCGTGGGCCACACATCTCTGGGAGGGCCCCGTTTCAGAGGACGAAGCTGGCTAGAGCCACCTTTCTGTCAGCTGTGATCTTCGCACACAGAATGGTTCTTATGCCTCACTTCCTCTCCTTTTTCTCACAGCTGGGGCTGTTATACGGACAAGAAAAGCTGTTTTTTATTTATTCAAAGTTGGGATAATCTGGGAGATGTGTGTCCCAAAAGCTGAGCGTAGCTATCATGGGTGTGGAATACTGACTGAATAATGCACTGCAGAAGTGAATCTGTCGGTTACTTTGCACCTCCTTTTAGGAACTGTACAGCCAGTCTTATGATGAGATTGGAGTCATGTTTGCCTCCCTGCCCAACTTCGCTGACTTCTACACAGAGGAGAGCATCAATAATGGTGGCATTGAGTGTCTGCGCTTTCTCAACGAGATCATCTCAGATTTTGACTCTGTGAGTGTCCATCCTGCCCCACTCCTGCCAAAGCCAGCTCGTTCCAAGTTCTACCTCAGGACAGGCCGCAGAAGTCAAAGGGAAGTTGAGGAGTTACTCTAACTGGCTACATTCCCCATGAGTCCCTCCCTCTCATGTTTAGGCTTCTGCAGCCATCTGGAAATGTTGGGTATGAGGGGGTGAGATGGGAAACTACTCACAAGTTCACAGGATCAAGACTGGCCCCTTTGATTCCTCCTACCCTCAAATTCAGATTCGTTGAACATTTAATAGGTAACTTGTACATCATGGAAGATATTTTTACATACATGTTCAACCACCCTGGAAGACTGACAATTTTATCTCAATGTTAAGGTTGTGGAAACAGACTCAGAAAATCAGGAAATTTGCCTGGGATCATGTGGCAGAGTATAACTTGTATAGGGACGCATCTCTTAGAGTTTCGTGGAGTCATTGTAGACAGGCAAATCTGTCATTAATTGGCTCATTTATCTCTGCTGACAATTTTCTCTTCCTTAATACTGGCCTTAGCTCCTGGACAATCCCAAATTCCGGGTCATCACCAAGATCAAAACCATTGGCAGTACCTATATGGCAGCTTCAGGAGTCACCCCAGATGTCAACACCAATGGCTTTACCAGCTCCAACAAGGTACCTAACCACCTCAATGGCTAGAGAGGAGATGGGGCTTTGACCCCTTAGGCAAGAGACAGGCAGCCCACGCCCAGTACATGGGAAACGAGAAGTTTACAAGAGTGGCTAATGTTAAGCACTGTTGTACAAAAGGCCCTGCAGTAGTACAGACACACACCACTAAGACCATGCAATGCAAATTTAAATTTGGGTTTACTGAGAAAGTGTAATGAGCAGAGAGATAATAGAACACATATAGCTGCCCACTGCAGTGTCATAGCTTTGTGTAACTGGCCATGCCCCTTTCTATACTTTCATAATTAGGCAGCTGAAACTATCTACGCAAATATGGGACAATGAAAACTTCCAGGATGGGGAGGTGGTTGTGTTAGAAAAGGCCCATTTTCAGAGCCCACTGGTTAAGTTAAATCAGATCTGTGGAGCCTGTGGTCTCAAGGGCTATCTGTAATACATTACCATTCTATTTTATCTTACAACCGCCATCTCCATTTATGTACGAGGTTAAAGAAACATGCCTAAGGTGGGTCATCACCGTCAAGTGCTTATAATCTAGTTGAGGAATCAAAATGAGGACAACTATCCCAAATTTGAAGACCAGGTTCAGACAAGGGGGTGATGAGACATAACAGGAAGCAAATGGGCTGGGCAAGATTTGTCTTTCCCACCGCGGCCCCAGTCTTTGCCTTACACCTAGAGGGGCCCATGTGAACTCTGTCACATGACAAGTGGCAAGTTAGAGCTAAAGAGGGTGCTGGTTTGTGGGGGAAAAATGAAGACTAGGCCTTTAACAGCCAGATGAAGGGACTGCCCTCTAGAATGTTAAGGAAAGAAGGTGAGTAGGCGGCTGCAGTTAAGGGCCCAGACTGGCTCCTGATGCCCTCCCCGCTGCTCTGGCACAGGAGGAGAAGTCAGACAAGGAGCGCTGGCAGCACCTGGCTGATCTGGCTGACTTCGCACTAGCCATGAAGGATACGCTTACCAACATCAACAACCAGTCCTTCAACAACTTCATGCTGCGCATAGGTAAGGTGCTAGGCTCACCTGCCCCCTGATGTGCTCCTTCTAATGCAAGGGACTCAGCAAACCAGCAGGAAGGAGGAGAGGCTTAGAAAGACCTGAGAAACTTAGGGTGGGGAGAGCCATACACTCAGAGCCAAAAGGGACTTTTAGTCCAGTCTCTTCTAGTGAAACCGAAAACTGGACTAAAGTGGCGGTCAGCTAGCTCTGTCTCACAGTCTTTACAATGACAGCTGCCTTCTGAGTTTGGCTGAGAAGTTTGTCTACTTTTCCAAGGAATCCTCTGTGCCTGCTGAGGGTTTTGCTCACCTCAGATGCGGCACCAGGTGTGTTAGAAACTGGCAACTTCCATACTGAGTAAATTAATCAGCATATTATGGGTAGTTGACGGTTTGCCAAGCACTTGGTGAGGGCAGGATAAATAGACGTGATTTCTGTCTTCCAGGAGCTTAGAGAAACAAGCGTAATGAGGAATATGTTACATAATTAGGAGGCTTGTACTAGGGTGAGGTGGCAATGCAAGATTTGGCGTGTGGCTGTGCTGAATTTATGCCTCTGTCTACCTCAGGCATGAACAAAGGAGGGGTACTGGCTGGGGTCATTGGAGCCCGGAAACCACACTATGACATCTGGGGCAACACAGTCAACGTTGCCAGCAGGATGGAGTCCACGGGGGTCATGGGCAACATTCAGGTACGCCTACCCACAGAGCTGAGCATGTGCTCCGCTCCAGGGAATACGTGTTTTGCCACACACGGCTGTCTTTCTGGCCCAGAATGCTAAGGTGGCAGTGCGATGCGTGGAAGATGCTTCATGCCTCAGACAGAGAGAGGATACTTCGACCCCATTGGCAAAATTCAGGTTTAATAACATCCTGCCTCCAGCAGCTCTCCCAAGGCCACCCTGACCTGTAGTGGCTGGTCTGGTGGGAGCGCGCCACAAAAGGGGCAAAGGAAACAGGAGCCGGAAGTCTAAGTTCCCAGAGGAGCGAGCACTAGACGAGCCAGGCAAACCACACTGTTCTGTTGCTCTGGCGCATGCGGTGGAGGGGGCCCCAGGTGGGGGTACCACCTGGGTAGCCTCAGTCTGGCACTGCTCTCTAACCCAAGCTCTTATACTGTTCTCTCTCTACAGGTGGTAGAAGACACACAGGCCATCCTCCGAGAGTACGGCTTCCGCTTCGTGAGGCGAGGGCCCATCTTTGTGAAAGGGAAAGGGGAGCTGCTAACCTTTTTCTTGAAAGGCCGTGACAAGCCAGCCACCTTCCCTAACGGCTCCTCTGTCACACTGCCCCACCAGGTGGTAGACAACTCCTGAATGGCCTCTAGCCTCGCCAGAGTCTGAAAGGGAGAATGTTTTTTGGAATCAAGGGCCTTGGGAAAGGTCAAATGCCCAACATTCCTGACTTGTTGACATGCACACTTATAGACTTTAGGTTTAAAAAGCGCCTCAAGCCTTCATTTGTTCGTGGGCATGTGAGCTGAGGGTGGTCACACTATCCTTAGTGTGCCTGTAGCTTCCCCCGAGAGTCGGGGTCGTAGGCTTAGTCCTGGAACTGCCCTTCCAAAGCCCTAGTTCCAACCAGCCCTTCTCCCCCAGAGAGGCCATGGCCACTGTGAGCAGGAATACGTCAGGTGGAACAAACTTGCCTTTGCTGCTGGGGACAGGTGAGGAAGCTCAGCTTGAGAGGAAGCTTGACAGGGTGGGACAACTGTGCCAGCAAATGCTCTGCTCCCAGCTGTGACTTGAAATCAGTGCTTTTCATCCTGAAGAGAGCTCAAGCTGGAGACCTGCTTGTCTCCACATGGTCCAAGTTAGGTGCAAGGGCCCTTGTCCTGGTAATCTTGAAAGGTTCTTCTGGAACCCGTCACCTTAGTTATGAGAACAGAAAGTGCAATATTTCCTTTTACCTGGTGGGAGGGAGGGAAAGGGAATTTATTTCTGAAAGAAAAATATATAAACAGATCTTCTACATTTATATTTTTAACTTTCTGTTACAAACTTTCCGATACTGCCTTGCCTTTTGAGCTCTTGCTACAGTCGCCTTTGCTACTGCTTTAAAAGAGAATTTACAGGTATTGACAAAGAACAAGACTGTTTTATTAAAAGCTTTCTTCGACTTGAATGTGATCATTGTGAAAATCCTGTTGATGCCTCTCCTGTTTCGCTAACTCACACCTCCGGTCCTCGCAGGACCCGGAAGGCACGAGAGCATGAACTAAGGTACCTTTTATTCGTAAGCCAGCTGCTTTCCTCTAAGTGGTGGTCCAAGCTGACTGAACCTTTCCTGTGCTCCTCCCACACATGTGGGTTACTTCTCACTCATCAGGTCTAGGAAGTAACCATTTAAAAATGAGGCCCGAATGCAGCACTAGGCTTTGGGCAGGAATGACTCCTACTTGTGACTGGGCAAAGGGGGACGGGAACTAAAATGGCAGGACCTGGCCAGCTAAACACATCTGCGAACTGGCTCTACACTTACTTCCTTAAGCCAAGGAAAAGTGCTTGCAGATCCAAGGCCATGGTTATAAGGGGAAATGGTGCACTACTAGTTGGACCAGGAGTGAGGAGGACAACTGTGCAGCAATGGCCTAGAGCTTGCAGGAGGAAGGTGAGCAAGGGTCTGCTTCCCTTGCAACAACTGAGTTATGAGCAGACTCTTGGTCGTGCTTTTTTATAGCTTAGAGTCAACTCTAGAGATGTTTAAGGAAACAAAGTATTAGATACACAGAATTCTATTTTATCTACAGTATTTTCTCATACAATATTCTTCAAAGCAGTAGTCTAGAATACAGTGCTCAGAAGATTAAACATCTCACTCAACTACGATTCATCTCATAAGAACCTAGAGTGTTGTAAGAACTCTTTTCAAATGTCTCATAAGAGAATGAAGCAGAATTACTTAAGCTTTCATAAAAGCTAGAAGTACTCTATAGTTGAGCGGTACATACTCCCTCTTTCACAAAATGCCTCCTATTGTCCCACAAACTATTCTGATTTTCAGCTAAAACATATGGTCAAATCAGCATCTCCAAGAAGAGATGATCTTGAACATCCTAACAAGTGACCAGGTAATCATGGAGAATTGTCCAAAAATGCCATTGTCTATGGACTCAAACTTGCCCCTTTATCATCTTGATGAGGTGGGTGTCTGTCCTCATTGCAAGGACATTCTCCAGGCAAGGAGTCTGAGCTTTTCAACAGTTTTCAGTTCCCAGGACCTCGCTTGGGACTGTGTACTTGTTTACTCACTTTTGATGTATTCCCAATGAAAACAGCATTCTAGTAGACCAGGCTCAGATCCAACTTTCCTCTTCTAGCAAACGAAGCAAACACTTGGTGCAGGGGCTTTGTACAAAACAGCTTTTCATGGTGTGCTCGCTGTTCTTCCCATGAGGTGGGTAATGCATCCATCCCTAAAAAAAGGCGGATTCTATCAGTCTCATCTAGTGTAACTGGAATCAGAACCTGGATCACTGATATTCTGGACCCAAGTCACTTTACTTTATTGGCTTAGAGCTGAGAGGCTGGCCCTTATTGGACCAATATAATTTTGAGACCACAAACTTACTCTATCCAGAGAAACTGAAAACTTATAGTATGAAACTTATGGCAGCTTCAAATTTTCTCCCCCCTAAAAAACTTATCCTATTCTTTATTACTGCCCATGTGACATCACTACGGTACATTTAATTGAAACAAGATCACAAAAAAAAATCTCTTGGGCAGCCCTGAAAAATTCCCATGTAGAGAATAGTCTCCAGGGAGCTCAATGTATACTGACTTGTGTCCATTCGGCTTCGTGGTGAAATGAGTCTTCTGGCTCTCTCACCAGTGACCCTATGACTCAGCCTCATTAGCTCTCTCTTCAAGTGGGGTCTCCAATGAAAAATTACAAGCTGAAAGAACACTGGCTGAGTTGGAAGGAGCAGAGAAGGAGGGAAAGCTATGATAATCGTATGTTTACTACTTACAAAGAGAAAAACCAGTAGAAACAAAATATTCTTTGTATTTTATTGTCTTTCTTTGTATTTTTCTGCTTATAGTACATAAACAGAAAAGTCTCTCAAGTCCAACTGTTGTATTCTACCCTGTTTCATTCAACCCGAATAACCTAGAGCATATTATCTAATTTCCCCACTGAGGCATCCTTCCTCTTACCTTGGTAAGTAACGGTGACATCCGTTGGAAGGGTTATTGTGAGGTCCTTATACAGCAGTCTAGCACAAAATGAGAAGGACTGGCCCCTCGACTCCACTTTGTAAGTAAAGGAGAGCAAGTTGCACAGCGAGTTTCTCTGTAAGGGCCCAGCCAGAGAGGCCGCAAAGTCACTCTAATGGAGGTGGGGATCAAAACAGACACAAATGACAATTACAGCTCCAAAGGCAGTGAGTGGCTGTGACACTTCCTTGTCTACCAAAAATAGGGCCCATTAATTAAATTTTAGAGAAATAAAGGAAAGGCAGGCCTGAAAAAGGGACTAATGATAGAGACATAACTAAGAGTCAGTGGCAGCCTAGGAAGAGCTGCAGAAAACACTCAACAGGCAGGGGTTGGGGTTGTAGGAAGATAAATAACTTTCTGCCAAGAATTTTGTTGACGTCATATGTATGATATGCTTTGTGTCTACATACACGTATCAATTTATTTAACTGACAACCAGGAGCTTCAGTGTCATTCCAAACACATAGAGGGGAACCGCTAAGCATATACTGTCACTGATTCTCTTTGCATTCACTTTACCCCATGCTAGCTCAATCGCTCAACCCTAAGGTAGGGCAGAGTTTAGGCAAAGATGGATAAAGCAGAAAACATAATTCTCAAGGTTCAGTAAGGCACTTAGCACAACACGTCAGGTACTCTACCATCCCTGCTGAATTAAAAGTACAGCAACTGTACTCTACCACTTTGTGAAGAGAAGAAAGCGTCAAGTAGAAAACCTTAAGGACCACCATTTGGGAGTGAATAATCCCGTAACCAGCATCCATGCATCAACATCATCCAGTTTCAACAGGGGGGGCGGGGAGGGGGGGAAATAACTTGTACACAAATAATAAACAAGTATTAAAAGGATAATAGTCAAATTTCTGGCTCAGTTATAAAACATTTTACAATACAAAAGAAAACTTGCCCCCCCTCCTTTCTGTTAACCCTATCCTGGGCCCACAAAATACTATATCAGGTTCCAGACGTACCTGAAGTCGATCTGCCTGGTACTTCCTCCCAGAGTAAGCATTTAGGTACTCGCAGAGACTGAACAGGAAGTGCTGAATATCAGTCTGTAAGTATTTTGCAGATATCTCCTCTAGGGGAATGAAGACTGGAATTGAATGGTGATGTATCCGAAGTGGTTTCTGTATGACAAGGTCTATGAAATAGGAATCCAGCAGGTTCCCCTCAAAAGCAGTGTTGATGCAAACACAGACTCCTCGGCTGGTCAGTTTCCCACTGAGCCCTGAGGCAAACAAGACAATACCTCTCAACAGATGTTAGGCAAAGTTAGTATCTTATTCATGTCTGCATCCCAGTTGCTTTGGTACTACCTAGTATAGACAGTATGTGCTCAAATGTCGAATGAAAGAATATCAGACTCTTTCCTCTTGTTGACTCTGGCTCACTCTGAGTTGTTGAAATTTTTAATTTACCTATTCTGATTGTTAAATAATTTATGACAGTCCCCAGTTCTTCCCACAATCTTCCTGCAACATAGATAACAGAGAGAATGAATTCCTGTTTTAATGGTGAAACAAAGACTTGAAGGGTTCAAGCTATCTGACGAGCAGTGTAAAGCAAGCCAGCAGGACAGGGTGCCAAACTGCATGCCAGCCGTGTGCGTACGTTGAGTGGGGCAAAACCAATGCTCGAGAAATAAGTGCAGGACCAATACTACATCCAGCAAACTAACTCAATAGACAAAGAGACCCAGACTGAAACAGGCCAGAAAAAAGTAAACCTGTAAAATGATATGCCTGCAGAATGGCTTTCACGCTTTCCCGTTTTCTTTCTAAAACTTCTCGCTCGCTGCTCTCCGATGTCTGGTTGGGTTCTTCACCGGCAATACACGCTTCAACCTGCAAGACAGGCAGCAAATCAAACTGGGTACAAAGGGACATAAGATGAAGTCTGCTCTCACCTAAATGGAAGAAAGCTAAATGCAGACTATTATGTTATGAATGAAGAAAGGCTACAGTGGTCTGCCAGGCAGCACTATGAATTCGCAGTAGAGGAAGGACCTTGTGGGTTAAAGTGCTAGGTATCAAAAGCAGAAATTGTGCTGGCCTGAAGAATTACGAATTTGGTGGGAATAAAGAGTATTGTGAACGGCAAAATAAAACGATGTGAAGAAAGTCTAGGATGAGCACAGGGTAAGCAAAAACGGTTGTGAAGAGGCAAGGCTAGGAAAGCGGCACGGGTCAGGCTGCTCAGGCTTTCAAGTGCCAGGATCAGAAATACTGACTCTAAGATGTACACTTAGAGCTATGGCCCCACAGATGCTCTCAGACTAACCCTCTCTCTGATAATTGTAAGAGCTGGGTGAACTTTCAAAAATAAGCAAGCAAACAGAAACTGGTTGAAGACATTAGAGAACCACCAAGACAGCCAGATTAAAG